ATGGAAAAAATTCCTCAAAATTTTGGCTGTTTTTGTATCCTTGAAATTCTATTTTTCCATATTATTGTGATGGTTTATGTTGTGCTCAAGTTTCTAAATGTATTTCCATGTTTCAAACACCCACACGCAGACACGGACAAATACACACACAAACACATACGCACATACACACACACCTTATGGGCCTTTCTGCTCCCTTCATTTTGAAAAATTTCAGTGGTGGAAAACTCGAGTAGGCGATCAGCTGGGATTTCACTCTTCACGAATTTTTCATTGTTAAAAGTCCAGGAAACGAACCCTCTGATCAGATTTTTGCGTTATCGGGGACAAACTTTTTTCGCCTTCAAGACCACCGTGCACAATTAGATTTAATAGTAATTTCCATAATAATTTGTAATTTTTTGGACGATTTGTTTTAAAATAATAGAGTTTCTAGACTGCACCACAACCAATTGATTTGCAGAATTTTGCTCTATAAAATGGTATAATATTTGATTTAAACTTGATAAATTTCTTCACCTTGATAAATTTTTCATATCATAGCCTGCCAGGATTATTGTTATCTATCACAGAACATGCCGGCAATGAAGACTGACAAAAGTTTGGAAGCCACTAGTTACATAGGCCACTACCGAACATCTCGTACCATTGTCTAAGGAATGGTTGACACATCCTAAAACTACTTGTTTTATAGAAACAAGATATTAAACATTTTTGTTATAAATAAATTATGAACGTATAACTTTTTCATCAAAAGTTGAAAAAAATATTAACATAGGAACTTTGAATTTTCTAAGCTTTTTTACAGTAAAATCTAAAATAGTATTTATAAGAAAAAATTCCTATAGATTTTTTCTGTAAAACGAGTAGTAGATTTTTTGTCATTTAGTCAGTGTGCCAAGATTAATTCAGATTTAAAAATATTATAACTACAAAATGGCTCGTGTTTAAAATCAAATAGAAGAAGCCTTGTTTGTTTCAAATGCATCAAATGATTTTCGAAATTACTCAGTTCTGGAGTTTTCAGTGGTAATGCTTCCTGGTATCAATGACAACGGTTGTCATAATTATAAATTTTTACCTCGAATCAGTTAAACAGCATAAGTTTCATCAGTTTACGTCAAAACATATTCAGAAAAAAATGTGTCTAGGCATAAATATTTTAACACCCTTCATCTTAAAAGTTAAGTTGTTTAGGAACTTTTTTCGGAAAATGTGTTTCTTAAACAATGCTCATTGTTTATTACAGATGTTCTGAAAGCTACACAAAATATACAGAGTTCTACGTAGTGTTATCTGAAATATTCAGGTTAGAATTTTGAAAAATTTTTTTCTCAAAAACTGGGTTCGACCACACAAAAAAAACTTCAGATTCGTGTTCAGCACCATCGAAAATAGGGGGGTAGACAAAATTTTGTGAAAATTGGAGGTGGTGCCACTAAAGTAAATAATTACCCTTTTTTCTTATTTCTCAGAGAATCACTTCTTTTACTTTTGCAAGTGAATTTGAAAACACCCTGTATGTAAAATAAAATTTAAGTTTACCTGGTTTGTCCATAAACTCTGCTAGTTCTTGCCACAGTTCCTCTTTCTTACACCGATTTGTGTAATCTGAATGTTGATCATTGTATATAGCTGGATAATTTTTAATTTTGTCAATAAAAACTTCTTCGTCAATATCAGATAAAAGTGACATTTTTTTAACTTACTTCCTACTTCCTAGAACAACCTGTAATATAAGCTACGTTCGGCAAACTGTTACGGATTAGGAGTGGAGTGGATTGGGCGTGAATTCAGAATTTTTAAGAGTTCACAGAGAAATTATAAACGAACGGTTTCAGAATCTGGAATCTGACGTTTGACAAGAGAAAAAAATTTAGGTTAAATGTTTTTTGTTCAAANAATGCGGCCGGTGTAGGCGCTTTGTGGGACCTCCTTTTGTCCTGGCTGGGCCCCGCCGGCTAGGGCCCTTTCTTCTGGCGCTCTTCTTGCTTCGCCGGCTCGTCTGTGTAAACCCCGGGGGTAGTGTCATGTTTATGTGTGGTATGGTTGGGTAGGGTAGTGCGGCTATGCAGCCTGGGATGCGCTTTGCTAAGGTGGCCCTTAGGCTAGCGCGGGAGGGGAGGGGTAAGGAGGGTATGGGGGGTGTGTATGTGTGTGTGTGTCGTTGTCTTCGTTTCTTGATCCTGGCTGTCTCTGAAACAGAAAAGGTTAGCGGGCAGGGGGAGGTTGAGGTTACATGTTTACAGGGAATGCGGCCTCCCCTTTATTTATTACTCTGAGGTGTAGACGATGGATGGGGCCTACCTTCACGAGGCTGCCCAGACCCCAGATAAATAATACTGTAGATATGAAACTTGAACAGATTTCATGGTCAGTAAGAGCGCTAACTGGTGACACTTTCTCCAACTTCTATTGCTTTCCTTTTCTAGGAATTATCGGTATACAGTGAGTTAAATTACCTGTAGCCGGTAAAAGATGCAAGCGCCATCTAGTTCTACCCTCTACAACTATATACCTATCCAATATTTATTTTGGGTATTCTGCCGCCGCTAAATTTAAAATTACATACCAAATCTCACCCTACACAGGTCACTCAGAAATTGGTTGGTTTTGTAAAATAATTTTCGCGTAGATAATTTTTGTCACCATGAGAAAATAAGTACATTTGATAAAAAGCATTAAAATCTCTCGAGCATTAAAGACACTTTTAAAAGCTCTACTAACTTTCTGAAATGTTTATTAAAAAAAATTCAAATTTCAGTACATATTTTGAAAAAAAAAGTGGAAATGATTATAGAGCAGCTTTCAATGCTTTCTATACTGTATTAGCTTTCACGGTGAATAAAAAAATATTACAAGTAAATAATTTTACTAAACCAATCTGAATAATTCTTGTAATAGAGATTTATTATGCAACTTTAAATCTTTCGTTGTGTTGATATCCATAAAAAAAACTACCTACCTCTGATCACATTTTTTATTAAAAAAAAACAAAAAACAAAACATTTTATTATTAATAAAAAAATGTGATTATATGATGATCAGACATTATTATGTTATATAAATAAATGTGAATGAAATATCTAATAAAACACACTAAAAACACAAATAAAACACACACCAACACTCGCCAAACCTAACCAACAA